AGAGTCTGTTAAAACTACTTAATATTTCTAATAGAATCTGATAATATATGATAATTAACTTCACTATTAATCTTTCTGAGAGTAAGAGATGTAGAAATGTTCTGATCATTATAAACTAATTAAGCAAAGATGTAATATTGAAATCTTGTAATAAGATGAATACTGAACAAGTTACTGAAGCTTTTCTACAGAGCTCATTCTATCAGATGCATGAATTGCTGAGATCTATAGTATCAGATTAAGATTATGAATTCATGAGTACTCTTTGAACAAGAATCTATCAAGTTCTTAAGATTATATATTATTTATCAACTGTCTATTACTCTGAGACTGATGATATGTCAGAACAGATAATTCAGACTGTAAAGAATTATCTTTATAAGTTCTATAACTATTTATAAGATAATTGATATGATCTTCTTCTACACATTGAAGTCACTATTAATAACTGAGATACTGTTTCAAAAGATGTAAGCCTGTTCTTTCTCACATATGAATATTATATGAAAGTACTGAATCTTCTAGAGATTATACATTTCACACTGAATCTCTGCAGTTTAATTCAGATTGCTGATAATATAGTAATAAAGCTCTGAGACATTGACAACTAAGCAGAGATCTTTGTAACAACTGTGAAATAAGATTAAGAGAATCAAATCAATGTTCACTGAGATTTCACTGAACAATATAAGATAGAAGACTTAGTGTGATTGAATGTTAAGAATATATAAATTATATATTCATCTTATACACTGAATTATTATCATATCAAGTATAAAGTGATGAAAGTTCTAGATAGTTACAACTACTGTCTTAACACATTATCAGAAATTTATAATATTTTTCATACAAGCTTGCTCTGCTGCACTGTTACTGATCTGTTCTCTTCTTAACTGACTTTTAACTGACAGCTGCCAGGAATCATAGAAGAAGATAATGAGCTTGAGTGAGAGATTGAGAATATTCTTGATAAGAGACTCTGCAGCCGCAGCTGATAATATCTTGTGAAATGAGTTAATTATAATTGACTGATCTGAACTCTGAGTTTCATACTATCTGAGACTGCGGCTCTTGATCAATGAGAACTACGCGCGACCAGAGAAGAGAGAGGCTAATGTAGTGAGCTGCGTCTGATCAATTATACAGACTATTCTGTTACATTTCATAGATTTCTACCGCCTCATTCTTAATCACTAATTCTCAGTCACTATGCTCTGATTCTCAGCCATTCTCAATTGCTGATTCTTAGTTGCTATAAACATGTATAAATTCTTTCATCTTGAAGCTTCACTGTGTACATTATTACATACATGTATAAATATTCACTTTAATTACTGATTCTCATACTTTCTCTTTCTTTTCCTTCTTTAACATTCTTCACTTTATTATATAAGATCTATCAATATTATATCAATCTATTCAGTGTAGATCTCTTACACACTCTCTCTTTTATCATTATTATTATTATTATTACTATCATTATTATCATCATTACTATTATCACTATTATTATTATTATTATCATCATTATCATTATCATTATTATTATTATTATATTATTTCTAGCTATCTCTTTTACCTTCATCTCTCTTCAACACTCACTGAAATTAATTATGTGATTTCTCTTCAAATATTCTGCAGTTCTGCAGATTATCAAGACGCGTGAGTACTATCACAGATTGAAGAGAGAGAAGAAGAAGATATTTAAGTAAGAAGAGATAGATTATAAGATATATTATAATGTCTTGAAGAGACTCTGTAAGAAAGTAGAATAATATCAATTTTAAGTAAAACTTCTGATAGATTTAGACTGAACTAGACTGACCGTGTGACCGTGTCTGAGATCAGGACCAGATTTTTTGATAGTCTCATTACCAATTTGACTGATCCCATTACACGGTTTTAACATTAGATAGTAGTCTCATACTGTTCCAGTGAGACTTACTGTCTACTCTTGTCACATTTTTCAAATGAGACCATGATTTTCACTTCTCAATTTAAATTATTTTTATTGCTTTAAATGACTTCAAATCTCATTTGAGTGTTATCAAAAAGCATTACTTTTTAAAAAATTAAAAATAGTCTAAAAAAACCTTAAAATGTCTAAAAATAGTAACTTTATGCTAAGAATGTGACTAAATGAAATCAAATGAGATCACTTTCTCATTTTTTTCAAGTCATGGTTCCATTTTAAGATCTGATATATAGTCACTTTACATGTTTTTTTGATAGCCAGTCCCAGCGGGATTCACGCCAAGAAATGTATGAGACCAGACCAAATGGAATCAAATGTGAAATTCATGGTCCCAGCGGCCAGTCTAGACTGAACTAAGTATAGAAATAATACAGATAACACTATCTGTAAAAGATTGAAAAAGAAGATAGTAAAGAGTCTTATACAGTAGCAGTGAGATCAGAAGAAGTTCTGAGAATGATTTAAGACTAGACTGACCGTGTGACCGTGTCTGAGACCAGGACCAGATTTTTTAATAGTCTCATTACCAATTCAACTGATCTTATTACATGGTTTTAACATTAGATAGTAGTCTCATACTGTCTCAGTGAGACTTACTATATACTCTTATCACATTTTTCAAATGAGATCATGATTTTCACTTCTCAATTTAAATTATTTTTATTGCTTTAAATGACTTTAAATCTCATTTGAGTGTTATCAAAAAGTGTTACTTTTTAAAAAATTAAAAATAGTCTAAAAAAAACCTTAAAATGTCTAAAAATAGTAACTTTATGCCAAGAATGAGACTAAATGGGATCAAATGAGATCACTTTCTTATTTTTTTCAAGTCATGGTTTCATTTTAAGATCTGATATATAGTCACTTTACATGTTTTTTTAATGACTAGTTTCAGCGGGATTCACACCAAGAAATGTATAAGATCAGATCAAATGAGACTAAATATGAAATTCATGATTTCAGCAGTCAGTCTATTTAAGACTAAGATAAAGAGAAAGAGAGAGAAGAAGAGTATTACTATAAGTAAGCAATAATAGAAGAAGATTAAGAGAGTGTTGAAGTAAGAGATAAGGAAGTTAAAACTGATAAGTTTTTTATTTATTGAAAGATAATAATTTTTGATAATACTTCTATTCTCTAATTAATTAGCAGAAGCTGATAGAGAAGAAGAGAATTAAAATCTTATTCAGATCTTAAATACAATTCATAATTCAGAATATTAAGAAGACAGCTCTACTCTCTAAGCATAACAATCTGCTTACTACTGAGATGAAACCTGAGACAGCAGATTAGAAAATGCATGATTTTGAGATGCAGATTGATATAGCTGAGAGAGAGTAGACTGACTGTGTGACTGTGTCTGAAACCAGGACCAGAATATTTGATAATTTCATTACTAATTCAACTGATTCCATTACACTGTTTTAACATTAGATAGTTGCCCCGGTGGGCTGAATGATTAATGCGGCCACCTGATAGTGCCTTGGCGTGAGGAAACCAAGGCGCGTGGGTTCGAAATTCGCAGGGGATACATTAAATCTGGAACTCAAGTATCTCAGGTTTCTAATAAATACAGAGGTGTACAAATCACTTCAATGAATCACTTTATGTTCCTGAGCTGGGAAGTTATTATTGCATGTATTTAATTGTCACTTCTTTGTATTTTCCTATGTTCTTGTTATCTTGATGTGGTCTCAACACCTGTATTTCCTTCTGTATAATCAACACTTGACCTGTATTTAACATCACATAAGAACTCATCATTAGCTCCGCTTGCATATGAGTATAATAAAAGAATAATAATAGTAATAATAATAATATTAGATAGTAGTCTCATACTGTCTCAGTGAGACTTACTGTCTACTCTTATCATATTTTTCAAATAAGATCATGATTTTCACTTCTCAATTTAAATTATTTTTATTGCTTTAAATGACTTTAAATCTCATTTGAGTGTTATCAAAAAGCATTACTTTTTAAAAAATCAAAATAGTGTAAAAAAAACCTTAAAATGTCTAAAAATAGTAACTTTATGTCAGGAATGAGACTAAATGAGACTAAATGAGATCACTTTCTTATTTTTTCTAAGTCATAGTCTCATTTTGAGATCTGATATATAGTCACTTTGCATGTTTTTTTAATAATTAGTCCCAGCAGGATTCACACCAAGAAATATATAAGATCAGATTAAATGGAATCAAATGTGAAATTCATAATCCCGGCGGTCAGTCTAAGAGAGAGTAGTGAGAACTCTTCTCTGAGAAGACAGCAGAGAGAGATTTTGAGATAATTATCATCTCAGATGAGAAGAAGAAGAAGAAGAAGAATAAGAAATGAATTATAAAGAATGATAAGAAGAATGAGAAAGAGAAGAAAGACAATAAGTAGAAAAAGTTTTTTTCTTTTTATATTAGTTAGTTGTAAGTGTCAGGTTATGTGATCTGGCTTATTAATTCTTTCATCATATAACTTTTCACAAGCTAGCAATCTTTCAATCACACAAGCTTTACATCTTTCACAGGTTATGAGACTCATTTTGTGCAAAAATGCTGTTAATTTAGAATTTCTTATCAATATAATCATTATTTTAACTACTGCTTCATTCAATACACTTATCAGAAGTTAAAATCATCTTGTTCTATCAGTATTGATGTGTTTGAGATCTTGTTGATCAAAAATACTACTGCTCACTTAAAAAAAAAAAAAGGCTTGCAGAAAACACATCACATTGTAAAAAAAAAGCAAGAAAAAGAGAATGATATTAGCAAGAATTCAATAAATGAATATTAAGATGACGGATTCAACATGATCCTGCTTACATATACATTTATAATCTTGTATTCTTTTCACTGAGTCAGTTGCAGTTAATGATGATAATTCTTCACATGTATACTCTGTCAGTGAACATTCTTCTGAAGTTTTTAAAAGCTTCATTGATAAATACTCTGAAACACTCTCTTGATTCAAAGCTGGTTTGAATACAGCTTCTGACACAGTCAGGCCGGCCTCTCAATCTACTTAACAGTGTGATGAAGCTGATTCTCTTGATGAGAATAATGAACATTCAGATGTCTACTGTTCCGATGAGGCAATATCAGATCAACAGATGAAACATCTCAAGATAATATTTGAGATGAAGAAGAAGAGACATAGAGTTCTAGAACTTGAACTACAACTGGAAAAACTTCATCAACAGAGATTCTCTACAGATTGATCACAGAATGTTAACAATCATTCTATCATTATCTCAACAGCTTATATAGTCACATGAGATTCTAATCTCAGTAAAAGGTTGAAATTCAATCTTTATGCATCAGATAGCTATGTTGACAAGATAATCTCTTAATTTAAGAAAGATGTTAAGAATACTATGAGATTAAACAGTCTAACTGATACATTTAATTGCATTACATGAAGCATCTTCATGAAAGTAAAACTGATTAATACACAGTGTTAATATATAATAGAGAAACAACAGAGTAAGAATTCTTTACAAAGAGATGATGAATAAGCATTATTCTAAGATGTCAGAAACTGGTAGCTCTACACATTCATCTCAAACACATTGAGTGCAGGTGTCAGACCATGTTTCTTCAAATATGATGAAAATTGAATCACTTATATTCTCTGAAATGTGATTGAACAGAAGTACTCTATTCTTAAAACACAGTTACATTATGAGACAGTTCTGAAATTTATGTCACTTGATGACACATAGATTATCAATCTACACATATTCTTTAATAAGTTTCAGTCTGCTATTATGAAATTGAAGATGATGAATACTTCCCTCTCAGATGCATGAATATTTGATACCTTCTACTGAGTTCTACTCAACAATTGAAGGAATTATGTTTAGAAGAAGATAGAGAAGATACAGGATTTTAAATCCACAGCTGTGATATTGAATATTGATCTTCTCATGAAGGAAATTCATTCACAGCTTGATTCTTCAAAAGATAAAAAGAATCTACAGAATACAGATTCTGCAGCTAACTCTGCTATAACAGCTATAACAGCTACGACAGCTACAACAGTCACAACACCTATCAATTTCAACAATAATACATTGAATTCGGCCTGTGAAGACTGTACTGAACGTGGTTATGATAGTACTTAAGAGAGCTTCTGAAACTATCAGAGATTAGAAAATTCATCTACATGTTCTAAATGTGAGAGATCTCACTTTGGCAACTGTTAATTGATCAATTCAGACAGTGCTTCAGATAATTGAAGAATCTACAACACTGTAAGAATAAAGAAATTTAAAGAAAAGAAGAAAAAGAACAATAGTGACAGTGAGACTTAACTATTTACTATAGATGATTCAGAGACCTTTCAGATGATAAATCTTACAGTGGTTATAAATGTGCCAGTCTGTTTTATGACACTCTCTAAGAATTCAGATACTGATTTCTTTATTATTTTATCTTCATTTTAAATACCTGCAGTTCTTCTGAAGCAGCTTCTGATAAATAAGTAACATCATCAACTTGATTATATCAGTAAAAATAGTATATTAAAAATACTCAGAGACTCATGATTTGATATTATCATTATCAGTCTGAAAAAATTATCATTCTGTTTCACATATATCAAGGTTTCAAAAACCGCTCCACCACGAACTCGCTCGATTTTTCGAATAAGAACCCGCCGATAGATCCATCGAAAAGCCCTTGATCATACGAGCATTCTGACCCCATCGCCGACCGCATACCCCGTGTGGTGGTGGAGTTATCCAGCCAAACGTGAACCAGACGTCGTTCGGAACTCCTGCGTGGGATTATCCCCCATTCTCCCCTACCACACCACAACCCCGGGCCAAATTGCCATACAAATTGTAAGGTGAAGAGACCTAGCCGTATGCACCAATCTTCTCGATTTTGGAAGATCCCCGATCTGTAGTTGTGGAGATATCTGAGGAGCGACCTCCGCGAAAACCCTGTCCATCTTTGATGTTCCAAAACACCAACACCAAGTCCCACCCTCGTACCGCCCTTCCCAATCTGGCCCATCCCCGGCAGAAAAATACAAAAAGATACCTCAGCGATAATATCAAGCACATAATCAACAGACAATGAGTCAACAGCACATCAACAACTATAAAATCAGTATACCCCAAGGTCTGACTGAGCCTTTGATCCCTGCACAGTGAGATATATTAAATCTAGTTTTAATACCTCAATATTCAATAGATTCTGCAAGAGATTGAGAACAGCAACACTAGATTTCTATTGAATTTGAGAATTAACTCTATATTGATATAATCATTGACAAAGTCTTCTATTTTGAGATATAAATAACCAGTTCCTCTACATCCCGCTGGCAATATTTACATTATTATATAGAAACAGACTTATATTCTCTATAATATCAAGACTCTGAAGAGGGAAAGTCTTGATAGAGAATATACAGTAGTGTATATCTTAGCAGTTTCTATCTCATTCTTCTGCAGCAGTTAATGCAAAAAAAAAAAAGATCTTAGAAATAGTTTTTTACTTCTCTTGAAAAAGTAAGGTGTTTTTCTCTGGATTTTACACAATATTCTTATAAAGAATTAAAAACAGAGTTATTTTCTGTCATAATTTCATATTCTTTTAAATAAGAATTACTTTTTCAGTGGCTGAAGAGCTTTCATTAATACTTAATTCTTTTTTACACTCTTTATTAACTGATTTGAGTTGTACACTTGTTGTGTGAGAAGAATTGAATAATTTAGAATAAAATTGAATAGTTTTAATCAATTTCTCTGCAAAAAATTGATTTATTTTTTGTCAGTTTTTCTCTCAAAAACTGTCATATCATCTGATTTACTATCAATTGATATCACACTTTTCCTCACTGTATCTCAAGAAAGAGATTGTAAAGATTTTATTGATTTATCTTAAAAATCAATTTTAGTTTATTAGATTCTCTTCAAAAATCTAACCTAGTTACTGAACTAGTGTGAAAAAAATCAGGTGTTTTATACACAAAAGTCTGCTATTCTTCTTTTGAAATAGTCTGACCAACTTTTCAATTGAAAACAGACTTAGAAACCTCTTAATTAAAACAGTCTGATCAACTTTTCAATTCAAAAGAGTTTAATAAATATCTCAATTGAATTAGTCTGACCAACTTTTCATTGAGTAAGAACAATGAGTTCAAAAGTACACTCAGTTAATGTGGAAAAAGATGCTTTCTCAAATGCTATTCCTGAGATTGAAATTCTGAAGAGAAGAAAGAAAGAAGAAATAGAGAGACAACAAGTTCTTGAAATACAGAAACTTGAAAAAGTAAGTAAAATTCTTGGAAAGCAGTGTCTGAGTGAGATGAATGAAGAAGTTCTGTTAATTCTTCATGCTCAGGCTAGACAACTACAGGAAGTGATCAAGTTCAAACTTGAAATTTCAAACACAGTTCAAAAAACTTTGAAAATTCCTAATACAATCACTGACTCTTCTGTTTACTCTTCTTTCTTTTCTACTTCTTCTTCTTCTTCTTCTTTAAATCAGAAGAAAACATATGCTCAAGCAGCTGAATCTGCTGCCTCTAAACCTGCTGTCTCTAAATCTGCTATCTCAAAACCTGCTCAAAATTCTGAGAAAACTGAGAAGAATACTGCTCATACTTCTAGTGATAGAAGAGTGAAGAAAAAAATGCAAAAAGAGAAAAATCTTCAAATCTTCAGAAATAGAAGACTTATTCTCAAAGTCTCAAATCAGGACATATTGCAGAGAAATAAGCTAAACTCAAACCTCATTTTCAGAATTAGAAATGAAATCAATCAGCAGTTCTTTTCTCAGTTAATGACTGATATTGAAGTTCAAAAATCAGTTATAGCTTCAATTGAGTCATTCTTCTTTGAAAACTTCATCATTCTGACTACAATGCCTGAATTCAGTGCTGAATTCCTTATTCAGAATAAGAATCTCTGAAAATCAGCAGTAGAATCTTTGTTAAACACAATAATTCTATCTAAGAGAGATGAAAAGTGAGACAAATTCATTCTTCATAATATTTCAGTTGAAATTTTTGACTGTGAAGAAGAAATGCTACTTCTCAAAAATGAATTAGAAGAATACAACTCTATTCAACTGAGAAAGAAGCCTGTATGACTAAATTCAATTGAGTTCAGACAAAGCAGAAGAAATGCCTCTGTTCTAGTATATACAAAGACAATGAAACAGTCAAAGATCTCTGAAGTAAGAGTAGCAGGTTTGAAAATGAGAGTTCATGAATACAAAGACTCAAGAATGAATCTCAAAGCTCAAACACAGTGTTCAAACTGTCAAAGATATGAACACTTTGCAATCTCCTGTTTCAGAGACTCAAAATGTGCATTCTGTGCCAGAGATCACAAAACTAGTGAGCATAAATGGCCAGCGTGGCCCAGTTGGTAAGACTGGTAACCAAGGCCGCACACATTAGAGGTGCGTGGGTTCGAATCCCACCGCTGGCACCTGCCACTTCTTACCCATGAAAGCCCTCATGTAATAGAGGCTGAGCCTAATTAGTAAGGCTTGGTGCGGGGTAGAACTCCCTACTGCAAGCCAAGTCACTAGTTAAGTGAGATCCTGTGAACACTCATCAGGGCTGGCATGAGGTGTCAATGTCTCACTATTCTACTGTGCACCCGTCAAGGTTCTAATGATATAGAGCCAAGCCTAATGTAGTGGTTATACACTACTTAAGCGAGTCCCTAACTAGGGCTGTCATTGAAGCCTAGCTCCTCCTCAAATACAGAGAATGATTTTGAAAATCATCTGACTAGCAGGCCTAGACATGTATCTAGGCTCTAGACAGGGCACTCTGATAGGCTAGAGCCTGCAAGCTCCCTGCCAAGCCCTAATACTGGCAGAGAGAACTGCAGTCATCAAGCCTATGATTAGTCTCTAACACAGGGCGAGGCCACAATGACTGATTAATAGGCCTATGAGCATCTAATGAGGCCGAGATCAGCAATCAGAAGCTTGATATGTACATCATCAAGTGAGTGATGACAGCCACTAACTAATGTCCCTGGAAATTAGTGACTGGCCCGAGAGAATGGACATGGTGATCAGTTAATTATAGAGGGTTAAATGTAATTAGCTTAAGATGCATCCTGCAGGTGGCTAGCGCCTGTAGTCTCATAAAAGAGGAAATTGTTTGAAAGAGGCATGAATATTCTCTGATAGTTAAGCTGCTTTAAAGAGACTTAGAAATAGTCAGATTTATAATAATCAAATGAATCTTGAACTGATCTTAAACTCTATTTTAAAAATTCAAAAGAGAAGAATATCAAAGCTGATAATTCATCTACACTGAGTTCCTGCTTATATGAATATTCATGACAATAAATTGGCTGATTCAGCTGCAAAAAAGAGTGCAGAATTAAGCAGATCTATTCAAAAAATTATATTCTGATCTTTTATAAAGAGAAAAATAAAAGAATCTTATTTAAATAAGTGAAATGAAAGCTGACAGAAATAAAAGAAGAGTATACATTATTCAAGATTTGAAATAAAACTCAAGTGAAAATCTTGTTCAATTAAATGTAAAAAGAAAATATTCTCATCTATAATACAGCTGAAACTAGGACATGACTATTTCAAATCTTATATATAAAGATTTAATGATAGATTTGACTCAATAGAATGCTCATTCTGCAATATAAATAAGAATTCTGAGTATATTGTAATACACTGTGCATTATATAATAGTCTCAGAGCCAGATTGAAAGAGAAGTATGATTTAAATCAATTAAATATGAGATTCTTATTCTCAACTGAGACAGAAATTAAATACTTAATAGACTTTCTATCAGAAACTCAAGCAGCTATAAGAAAATAACTAAATTCAGAATTATCTGAATATGAAGAGAAGAAAATCAACCAGATATAGTCTGTTAAAACAGCTATATACTATCTTTTAATAATTTGTTTTGTTACAGTCTTTTTTTATTTTATCTTTTTCTTTTAATTTCTTTCTGTCTATCTATTTAATGTGTCTATCTTTAAGACTGTGTTCTCTTTTCCTTTGTCATGATATTGTCAAATGATTTCAAAGTATGAGATGATGTTAAAACACTGCAATTTGTAAACAGTTTTTATATTCTGAGCTGGAATTTTCTGATTTTGCATATCTGAAATTGATGAATGTATAATAGTTAACTTTACAGATATAGGAAAAACCCTGAGAACTAAAAGTTCTCAGGTAGATGTCATAGTCTCTGACTGCATACATCTATAATTGAAGAATAATAATAATAATAGTGAGCATAAATGTGAAACATGCTCAAAAAGAGGTGAAATATGTCAACACACTCTGCTTAAATGCTCTAATTGCAAAGAAAAACATGCATCTAGCTCAAAAGAATGTATGTTTGCTTCAAGAACTCAAAAGAACTGGAGAAAAGATGAAGCTCAGAGTAAACCTAGAACTGAAGAGAATAGTCAAGTCAGTAAACTCACAACTGCAAGCTTAAAAAGAAGAAACTCTCAACTGTCTAAGTCTTCAAACTTCAATTCTCCAGCTAAATGTAAACAGAATTTGAATCCTCAAACTTCTGTTAAGATTAGAGAATTGAGAAATGACTCTGGTGATAAACTAGATATAATGCAAGCAGTTGAGATTCCTACTTTTCAGAACAGTTATAATCTACTATCTGATGATAGTGATTAGATTCTACTCTACTCCCTTAGTATGAATATACAACAAAAACAACAAAAAAAGTTTAAAAACTCTTCAAAAATCACATTTATTCAAAATAATGTGAATAGAAACTCAAATTGCATTTATTCTTGTCTTCAAATTGCATTTGAATAAAAAGTTGATTTTATACTGCTTCAGGAGCTGAATTTTGATGCTGAGCAAAAATATGTCATTTCTCATTCAAGCTACTACTGCTTTTTATCTCAAAAGTCTGAGATAAAGTCAAGAGTAGTGATCTATGAAAGAAAGAGATCAAGATATCAATTTAATCTAAGATTTGATATCATGTCTGACTCTGATATTCTGGTAGGTGACATTATAGATAAAGAAAATGAGTTTGATACTATACAGCTCATAAATATCTATAATGAAAAGTCATTGAAGAAATATAACAATATCTG